AAAAAAAAAAAAAAAAAAAAGAACAGAACTCCACCCCAATGGAACCTGTTCTCTTTCCCAACCATGTCTCTCCGTATTGCCCAAAGGCAAGTTCGATCATTCTTTTTTTTTTTGTGGTACTCCCAAGGGCAAATAGCAACGAGAAAAATATTTGCACCGCCGACATGCTGTTGACAGCATGTACAGCCCTTTTGTTTTGTTAGGTGCTTCTGCCTAGTGGTCTTCCACTCTGCCATTCTTTATTTCTTTTCCTAGGATGCTACTGTTTCGTAGTGGGAGGAGCTTAGCCGAAGAAAGCAGTGTTCACTAACCGGCGAGTGTTGCTGAATAACTACGTAAGAGGGTACCCGAAAGTCACCGACTTCCGGCTGGATGATTCCGCAGAGGTCCATCTGAGCATTACGGATGGTGCTGTGGCCGTGCTGCTCAAGAATCTCTACCTCTCCTGCGACCCTTACATGCGCCACAGAATGTCCAATTCTGTTGCTCACCCTGGCACCATCATCCACTCATTCTCCCCTGATTCTGTACGTTTACCCTCTTTTTTATCTTATCGTACCTGGGTCCATTCAAGCATTTCATGGTTACCCAATTTCTATTTCACTGTTGTTTGAAGTTCCCCAATTTTGTACATTGACTTTTTTCTTTTTTTGTACAATAATGAGAGCTTTCTCCTCTATAATGGAGTTTTATGTTCACCAAGTGTTTGAGTATTTGATCCAAAAAGTTCCTTAATTCCAAATAAATCAAGAGAGGGAAAACATGATATGATTCTCTTTAGTCACCTATTGCAATTTGATTTTAGATTGGATGTACTTTTATGGTATGGCTCAAATCATGGGTTCCAATGTTTATAATGCACAAAATGTGATTTTGTATCTTTATGTTGTCATATTTTGGAGTTGCACTAAAAGGAAGGACCAAAGGAAAGACCAATGAAAAATCTGACACTGCTTGGATCTGATAATCCATGGTGGTACCTTTTGTTTGTCTCGTTTGAGGTTTCCTCCTCTTTGTTTCACATTTTTTTATCAGGTTCTTGAGGGGTATGGGGTAGCTGAGGTCATGGATTCCACACATCCAGACTTTGAGAAAGGCAACATTGTGTGGGGTTTAGCAGGTTGGGAACAATACACCACGGTCAAAAATCCTGAAAAGCTAAACAAGATCAATCATATCCTGCCCCTCTCTTACTATGCTGGTGTTCTAGGTATCTCATCTGTTTCTCTTGTGAATTCCTCTCATGAAGTATGAACAGTTGTTTCTTGCTTAAGTAACTCTAATGTCTTCATCGCATATATTAGTTGTTGTTCCTGGCAATCACTAGGCAGTTTTCAATGTGAATTACTAAACTCCATGTCTGCAATGCTGACTTTATCACATTTTGCCTTTGTTTAGATATGCCTGGACTTTCTGCATATGTGGGTTTTTACAAACTTTGTGCTCCTAAGCAAGGGGAAACTGTTTATGTTTCTTCAGCGGCAGGGGGAGTAGGCCAACTTGTTGGTCAATTTGCTAAGATGGC